AACTTTATTTATTTATCTATCTTAACAACACAAGGCAAAACACTCATGTCTTTTGTGTTCCAATTCAAAGGGCTCTAATAGACTACTTTCTGAGGTTTGCGCAGTATGTCAAACCCAAAAATAACTTGACGCACCACGAAGCCAAAACGAAAATTCTAAGATGCGAAGTAAAAAAAAAAAAAACGTTCTCACACTCTTAATTTCGATACAAAAATAAAGATTTTTCTAGTTCTCACTCACTTCCCATTTTCTGTGGGCTCACACTCGTCGTACGATGCGCAGACCTTAAAAAAGAATGCAAAGAATCAAATTAACGCGCAGTGTTGCGAAACGGCCCTCCGGAGAGGGTGTTATACAGTGTTTTTCACGATCTTTCGTTAGAGTTTTCTTAAAAGGTTAAGGCTAAATTTTTAAGGTCAAGCTGTTCGGTCGCTTAATTTCGATCGTGCATCAGTCCACGTTATATGCTGATTAAATCACGGTATAAAATTAACAATAGCGCAGCGCACTGATTATAAAAATAGCTTAAAGATTCGGACAAACATTGCATTCTGTTTAACCGCTACGAGGATTATACGAACCGATTTTATTATTTTAACTTAAAGTTACGATAATAACCCATGTAAACTAAGATCAACTAGTACTGCGATCGGCTGTGAAAATTATCTGCTGAAAGTAAACTTGTAAGTTTGTTTGTTCGAATTTCGCCTTTGTCTTCGTTTTTATGACGTCACGGTTGCGCTGCGCTATTATTCGCCGAAGGCGAAGTGATTATCGGGGAATATTTACCGAGACGTGAGTCTCCGAGCGGCGAGGTAAATATTTCCCAATAATCACTGAGCCTGAGGCAAATAATTGTTTTAGTATAAATATACAGGTGATTCTTTCGAAAAAAAAGGAAAAAAAAGAAGATAAAAGGCATTTTTTCCCGGTAACAGCAACAAAGTGGCTGGCCGCCATTTTGGATTTTCGCTCGAGGTGATTATCGTGTGATAGTGTGAGTATCTTGACGAATCAGCGCGCGAGATTTTCCATAATCAACGGCGTATTTTTACTAAAAATCATTATTACATGTATACACTTCAATAAAAATACTGATTTCCATGAATGTCGTGTGTGAGCCTGTGTTATCAAAAATATTTACCAATTTTACGCATAAATATTAGAAGGGAACCCGTTCTTCATATATCAGGGGAAGGCTGTTTCATAAGGTTGCTAAATACTCCATTTTAAAGTTCCGTTCAGTGACCACGAATAATAGTTCCAAGTCGAGGTTGGAGCAGCCGAAAATAGTAGGACTATAGTTTATCATGCGTGGCAGCTCCAACCTAGGCTTGCAACTATTACTCGTGGTAACTGAACGGAGCTGTAAAAAGGAGTATTGAAACTACGCTTCTGATACAATTGTTAGGGTGCACGTTACGTCATAGCCGCCATGTTGGTTGACGATAACAAAGCATTTCTCATCTCTTGTTAGATCAACCAGCATGGCGGCTGTTCCATTGTTATTTATATGTCAAGGGGTTTTGAGTCATGTGGAGAGCAGGGCCGTAACCAGAACTTTTACAGGGAAGGTGCACATCGAATAAAATAGGACCATTGATCGTTTCTTTTAAGAAAGCAGAACCAAAAAAAAAGGAGATGGATGAGCGGACCTTAAGCTTTTATGGGGGGGATGGGGGGTGCACGTGCACCCTATGCACCCCTAGTTACGGCCCTGGAGAGCAAATTGTACATTTCACATGTCATTGAAAGTCATGCCGTAATGGGCCAGCCATCATCCCATATGTCTGATATCATTCTCCAGGGAGTAGAAAGTCATGCCGTAATGGGTCAGCCATCATCCCATATGTCTGATATCATTTTCCAGGGAGTAGATCTTTGCTTTCAAGTTGTGGAGTTCACCGACAAGCTTCTTAGATCTTCCAGCTGTTTTTCTTACATTATGGAGGACTTGTTCATCGTAGTCATCACCGATGTTCACAGTCACCTATACACAGATGAGATGAAGATCCATTTTTTTGTTATTTACACCTGGCTTCTAACAAAATATAATTACACAACTTTTAGACTCCTGAATCTGATTCAGAGCAGACATTTGTTCTGTCAGAGTAATAAATTAAAAAAGTGATGATATAAGCCTTTTCATAGTCTAAGAATAGAATCCACTGCGCATGCGATTTTATCCCGAATTTCTCACCTTCTTTTGTTTAATTAAGAACAAAAGAAGGTTTAGACAAAASAAGGTGAGAAATTCGGGATAAAATCGCATGCGCAGTGGAATCGATTCTTAAACTATGAAAAGGCTTATTATGTACACATGATTATGCGTCCATAAACTAAACGGAGGGTTTTACCGTGGAGAGCTAAAGTCAAAGGACGCTCTTGAACCGGTAATATTTTGATTGGAGGAGTTTCACTTGTTAATAGGAACAATCACCAGATAAAGAAACAGTGAAGGATGTTGTCCAGTAAATTTGGCCTGCAATTTTATTATCCATTTGGCAGTTCACAGGTAGCCCAAGCTTGGTTTCTGTGGTGTCATGTTATGAGGAAATGTATGGGGATTCACCAAAAAATACCAATAAAATCATTGAAATGTGAAATAAGGCCTCGAAATTTTACCCGATCATTGAGAAATAGCACTTCTTTCGTTGTGTGGTTATCCTTAAAACGGGCTGAATTCAAAAAATAACCACACAGAGCGAAAGAAGTGCTATTTCTCAATGATCGCGTAAGATTTCGCCTTATTTCACGTTTCAATGATTTTATTGAAATTTTTGGTGAATCCCATACATTTCCTTATAACATGACACCACAGAAACCAAGCTTGGGCTACCTGTGGGCAGTTCAAAATAATTTTTGCCTGCCAAACCGGCCATTGGCAGGCCGCTATTTTGTAGCCTGCGTCACATCCGGAATTTTCTATAGAAATTCCGGATGTGACGCAGGCTACTATTTTGAGCCTTGCATGTGTCTTCTCATGTGCGACCGTTAAACAAAGGAAAGAGACATGGTATGAAATGTGAAAAATGTCCAAGGTAAAGAGGCCTATTGGATATAACTGGATCCCCATTCTAAACCACCACCACTACCCCATCTCCACCAGGTTGGCTCAGTAGGTAAGAATGTTGGTCTATTGTGCAGAATGTTGTGGTTTAATACCCTGCTGGACCAACACTCATAGTCTTAAAATAACTTAGGAGAAGGTGCTGCTTTTGTAATTACATCCACAAATGGTTAGACCTTCACTTGGCTTGGAACGGCGCGTTAATAGTGGCCTCAAACCTAATCAACTTAAGATCTTACAGCCATTCTCAATCACACGTGCTGCTCTAGCAATTGTTTCTGTCGTGACAAAGAAGCTTTTGGTGGATGTCAATCAAGGTGTTTCCATGACATTCTATAGGCTTGTGCCCTTATAGCTTTCTATTTTCCTACAATGTCATGGAAACACCTTGATTGACATCCACCAGAAGCTTCTTCGTCGCGACAGAAACAATTGCTAGAGTGGCGCGTGTGATTGAGAATGGCTGTAAAAGAAGACCACGAATTAATCATTTGGATTACTGTCAAGTGTCATCCTCTACAAATAAAAGTTGATAGATTTTATCTCTTTAAACCTAGAGATGTCTTACCTTGAAGAGCTGTTTTTCAATGTTTTTCAGCTTACTTCTCAGCATTTTTATGTCACTCTTGAAGCCCTCCACTTCCAAAGCCCTTCGTTTCTCCAGTGCTTCATATCTCTGGTTCATCAAGGTCAGTCTCTTACCCATTTTTTCACTTCTTTCCTTGAAGACTTCCTTACTAACATCACTTTTTTCTCTTATTCTCGATAGCTCTTCCTCTAGGCCAATACATTGTTCTCGGTACATTTCTGCAAGCTTCTGAGATTGTTCTAACTGATTTTTTAATGAATGAACAGCATAGAGTTGTGCTTGCCGAGGCTCAAGTACCTCTCCAGACACATCTAATAGGCTACTCACTTCAGATATATCAAGTTGTTCTCGTAAATTCTCAATATCCTTAATAAACTGGTCCCTTTCAACCATCCAATGGCGCTCCTTTGCTCTGAGCTCATATTTTAGTTCTAAGAAATCTTTAGTGCTTTCGTAAAGTAAGTTCTGTGTCTCATGAAGCTTGTCCTGTAGTGTTTTGATTTTATCCGAATCACGTTCTCTCTGAGCATTCTGTTCCTCCATGCGTACTCGGCGATCTTCAAGGAGAGCATCGACTTGCTCTTTAGCTGTTCGGGTTTGTTCTTCAAGTTGTGCTTGAAGTGATTCTATTTGAAGAAGTAGTGTTTGGTTGTCTTGTTTGTTTGTTGGGCTGCGAGGGGGTGGTCTAATGTTGCCTGCTGCATCTTTTGCTCCTACCTTTCTACCTACACCTAATAATAAAACAACAACAAATGACAACAAATGACTCACCAGAGGAAGGTGTGCTTTTATTGACATGAATGTTACTGTTATTTGCAGGTGATCTAAAATCCCAAGGGGGGGGGGGGAGGGGGTACTGCGATTTGAGAAGGACTGGGATGCTCATCGTACCTTTTAGAGTTCCAGATCTGCAATTTGGTACCTTTTGGGGTGTAACAAATCTAAAAGGACTACCAGAGAGTAAGCCAGTACCTGTTATGGTGTTTTCGATACAATAAGAAACCTGAGATTATATAAAATTCAGAATGGCAGTCGTAATTTAGGATATTTTTTTAGTTCATTATCTGACTTCTGTCACTTATATCATAGATAATTGGTACCTTTTAGGTGTAAATATCATTAGTTCCCACACACCCAACTGGACAGGATTCAGGTACCTCTTGCCTAGGGGTCATTTTCAAAATTTCCAGTGAGCATCATTGCCCTTTTATATATAGGAGTCCTCCCAGGGTCTGAAATAGTGATGCAGGAATGTCATCACTGCAAAATTGAGGTGTCACAACTAAAGCCTACAAAAATTGCTCCAGCGAAATTTCACATACAACTGAAACTACAGAACTTTAAATACCAGTGTCTAACTACAATCTCTTCTCACAACCCTCCAATCCCACTCCTAGTCCAAAGCTTGGTGCCAATCCCCTCCTCCCACAAAAATTCAATATACCCCTTTACAGTTCCCTGCATCATCTTGAAAGGTAGCCGTGCTTTTGCATCGAAGCGAGATGAACGGTGACCTTGCAATGATAGAGACCTTTTTTAACACCTTGGACAATTAYTCACAGGTCTTTATCATTGCAAGCTCACCGTTCGTCTCACTTGGATGCAAAGGCGCGGCTACCTTTCGAGATGGCACAGGGAACTGTGAAGGGGACTGATTCGCTTACTTCGATAGATCACTAATTTGCATGTGACGTCAAAGTAGCTCAATTTGGAGGATAAAACAAAATAATTTCAATTTTTTGAGAATTGGAAACCTATTGTTAAGTCCTCCAAATTGAGCTGCATTACCAAGTGCTAGCTGTAAGGGGTCAATTGACACCTACCATATTTATGTCCTCCTGGCCCACGACCATCCATAGCTTCTCTTGTCTTGTCAGTATGAATCATTTCTGGTTTGCGTTCAGGAATGATTACTTTTGCAGGGGGTTGTCGGTGAAAATAAGTTATCTCTGCTTCGCCACCCCTAGATAAACTCAAAAGATGTTGTATTTTCTTTCTGTCTTCAAGCTCGCGTATTTTTAACCTGTCGTTCTCGGCGTACAGTCGAAGTACGTGTTCTCTCTCTTGGAAAAGATACACTTGCATGTCGCTCAACGCTTTTTGAAGCTCTGCAATTTCTTCTTCTCTTTGCCGTAGTTCCCATTGCGTCTTATGCTACAAAAAGGCATAATAAATCCTCAAATGAGACCTCTAAAGAACGACTGTGGCGGTAAAGAGCCGCGTGGAATGTTTTATAGTAGAATAAAATTTAACAACAACTAATCTTCAAGCTTACTTGTTCTTCGTATGTGCATTTGTAACGTTCCATTTTCTTTAGCATTTCCTCATGTTCGCCATCATATTCAGCAATCTTCCTTCTGTAGTACTCTAAAAGTTCCTTGGAAGGCCTTAAGTGTCCCAGCCTTTCATTTACAGTTGGTAAAGGAGAATAATCTCGATCGATCTCTTCATCCATCTCAGTCGCCATTTTGAAAATCGCGCTATACGAACGGCTTCGCACTGGAAAACAATGTTACGCATCACCAAATGCAAATCATACCGCTGAGCCCGCACAGCATTCGGTCAGTTTAAAAAAAATCAATTTACCAATAATAACAAATAAACAAACGTCAAACACTGAAATAAATAAATAAATAAAAATTAATTAATTAATTAATCTATAATAAGAAACGAAGTAAAAGAGAGTTCTCGTACTGAAAAACATCCATTTACCCCATTCCTCCAGTCCAAGTCGGGTCTCATCAGTTGACAATCGATTTTACCTTGCACAACTTCTTTTGAGTGTATCAATGACTTTATTACTGCAGTAATGTGTCTAAACTACAAGCGTTCCACAGGTAGCAACACTAAACGTGGACACCTAACAGCGGGGGCATATCCTAAGTCTTGTTTAATATTAAACGTCATTTTGACAAATGTTTTTAAAAAAAGACAACAAAAAAAGTCACGTGACCTAATTACGTAAGATGTATTCCAAAATGCTTAAAAATAGAGAAATAAATCTCACACGCGCATTACTTGTTTATTGGATTTGCATCCTTTGACGTACTTCTTGGTCACTAAAGTTTTATGGGGATGAATAATTTTTTTGTAGACACGTTTTCTGGAAGTTGATTTGTTTACATGTCTCACATGTCTCACATGTTGAACGAATGGAATTTGATCGAGTTGGAGAGGCTCTCACAATGTGACGCAACACGGCTTTTTTGACTAAGGATATAAGTCTAATTAGGACTAAATAACCGATAAGATAAGATAAGAATAAGAGAATTTAAAGCAGAAAAAAGGATTTTATGAAGAAAAAATATTGTTTTAAAATACTGCTATAAAAATACTGAGGGCCTTAGGTAAATTCTGGAGTAGTTAATCTTATGTATTTTCTAGCGTAAAAATAGAGTAAAGAAAAGCAAGAAGATGAAGAAATGGATGTCCCTAGGGGAATTAGGCACATTACAAAGAGAAACGTCATAGGGTCATTAAATTAACATGAAAGTAGAGGTCAACCAATCAAAATTGTTGAATGATACCACGTGGTAAGAGGGCATATAAAGGGCTGAGTCACCGACAGATGAGATGATTATCCATTTTAAAAATGGCGTTGGTTTGGTTCAAAATGTGAGGCCTTTGTTTTCATAATGCCTGGTTGAAAATCGGACCTAAAAATTATAATGGCGGACGAAGTGGAGGAGTTTGTCTTTATTTCTCCTCCTGAGGCTCCTGTTTTTGAGCCAACTGATGAGGAATTCCAGGACCCTTTGGCTTATATCGCGAAGATAAGACCGTATGCAGAAAAAACTGGAATTTGCAAGATTCGACCACCCCCGGTTAGAGTCGGACTCGTTTTTGTTTTATCGTCCTTAAAAAGATAAATTAAGTCAGAGTTGTTTTATTTTATATTAGAATGTTTACAATTTTATCCTGTCTTAGGATTGGAAACCTCCTTTTGCTGTAGAAGTAGAAACTTTTACTTTTACTCCAAGAATACAAAGACTCAATGAACTCGAGGTAAAGTTTAAAAACCCCATGAGTGTTTTTTCCCTCTGTTCTGTTGTTGAATTGTCGCGAGAAAGTATTTGCTATCTTATTACTTTTAAATGGAGGGGAATTATTGATATTTCAGTTTTGAAGTATCGTTCTGAAGGGTACGAATTACGTTAATAAAGCGTGTAAAAAAAGAGAACTGCATGTCCATGTGAAGTACAAGCTATCACGCATGCTATACACAAACCATTTCTTATTTTTTTTGTTAACTGAAACTGTCTTTTCAACTCCAATCCAGGCTAGGACCAGAGTAAAACTTAACTTTCTAGATGCTTTAGCAAAGTTTTGGGAATTACAGGTAAGAAATGACTAAATACCTTCTCGAAAATCAAGATTTCAAATGGCATCAACTTCATCCAATAGAAACTTCATGGCGTCCGCCATCTTCCCATCTCATTTATAATTCCTTCCTTCTCAAGTTTTTATTTTCACTTTTCAACCTTTCATTTCAAAAGGGCACAGTCTTCAAAATCCCCCAAGTGGAGAGAAAAAGTCTGGATCTCTTTAGATTGTACAAGGTAAGGGAATTTTTGTTACACAGATTGGACAATAAAGGGATTGCCCCTCTTCTCGTTGATGCAACCACAGCGTTTGAATTACAACACCGTCAAGCACGCAAGGCTTCGAGCCTTTTTTATACCTGTCCAGTAACTACATATCTGGAAAATATAACTTTTGATTCCTTAAATGAGCTATTTCATTTATACGGTACTCTAAGTTTAACTGTTATACTTCCTAATCAACATTTAACTCAAAACCCAAGGACATTATACCATAGTCCAATGTTAATGCAACCCAGTTTTCCAGCCCAATCAAGTATTAATATCAGCATAGCTAGTTAAATCTGTTAGAACAGATGTGTTTTTCCCGTTGTATTCGCAATTAGATTCTCAATGGGTGTAATTTGGACAACCCTGGCCTCCAAAAACATAGAAATGTTAGATCTAGATTAGCTAGATTAAAATGTATTTCCTTGGAAGGTGGCCATGATTATAAAATTATCCTCCCGGAACATTAATCTGCATATCTTTAAAATGCTGTTATGCAATTTAAGGAAACCATGGAACAACGCAATAGCTTAAAGGACAACTGACCCCAAAAATTGCCGTTTTTCATATAAAACTACAACGTACATAGATCACATAAATTCAACTTTGAACTCTGATACAGCTTCTATGTCGCCGAAAAGAAATAATCAATTCGCGAAAAATAGCAATAGAAGAGCGCCATATTTGAGCCCGCAATAAATTACC